GGAAACAAAGATGCTGGTTCCTGTGCAGGGTTTCCACTGCGAGGGCCGGGGGCACAGTTGGGAGAAACGATCTCATGATTTTATATATCAGGGTCCTCAGACTTTAAACGGGGCCAGTTCACTGTCCTTCAGACCGTTGGAGGGCCGGACTATAGTTTAAGAAAAACTATGAACAAATCCCTATGCACACGGCGGCGGCAAATACACCCGGCGGGCCGGATAAATGTTTTCGGCGGCCACGTGTGGTCCGCGGGCCATAGTTTGAGGACCCCTGTTTTATATCTTAACGTTAATCTCTCCCTACACCCATAAAGGCGTGGTTTTAGGGAGTTTAGCATGTGGATGTGGTGAAGTGTATGGCTGTATGACTTCTAATTGAGTAAAGGCAGAATTAGACATTTCTAGATATCAATCTGTGATTTAAAAAAAACTTCCTTCATGCAAACTAACATTGTATAATTACAAAATATAATTATATCTTATATTTTATGAATCGTCAGACACTGATACAAGCCAGAAAGCTTGCTGAGACTATAATGTCATGTACATTCAAGATGCAAGGAGCAGGCTAGAATACTGGGGGAGATCTTTTCTCTATAACAAGAAATCAAAGGCGTAGGAGACGAAGTCTGGTGTGGTTGCTTCATTTGTTTTTAAGGTCTGTGTGAAGGAAGTACCCGGTTATTGGCCTTGTTCTGTTCGTTTGGTTTTCACTCCAGATGCTAGTGGGTCAGCGTTCAGTTTAAAGCCCAGGGCGAGGGGAGTCTCCCGTGCTGCTCGGGCCCTTGTCTTGGGCGAGCCCCTGACTCTCTGGGACCTCACTTTGGCTTCCAAACTAAGGACGGTAACACTTCCCTTCAGTCACCTCCTGTTTTGTTCCAGAGCTTAGGGAAGTCGCCCTCCAGACGAATGCTCTTGAGAGGTGAGCGGCTCAGAGCGGTGAGCAGCATGTAGTGGGGCTGCGGCGCGGGCCGCCCGCCATGCACACGCTCCAGCTCCCTGTGAGGCCGTGGTCTGTGCAGCAAACATCTGACGTGTGTTAAGGCTGCATCCCTGGGAAGGATGCAGAGCATCATTGCAGCTCATCTCAGAAAGACGGGATGCCTTTCTCTGTCCCCACAGTGCTCTGCGTTCCCTGGGGACCGGCCCCAGAGAAGCACAGAGCCGAGCAGGCAAGAGGACTGCGCACAGGGACATGTGCTGTGCTCTCCGCTGAGGGCAGAGCTGGGGCGTGAGCCCCGGTGGAGGCTGGCAGATGCGAGTTGAACAGGAAAACAAAAGCTCCCGGACACTGCAGACTGGTCGACTGTGTCACCACAGACAGTGTCGTGTTTTTGAAGGGCCTTTGGAGACAGATGAGATTCTTTCCTATATGACGGGGATGACATACAGCGACTGGAAATGGAGAGCAGGGTCCCAGGTCCCCGAGTTCCCTCCCAATCAGACACATCTGATGGGGCAGCCATATCGCTCAGGCCGTGTAAACCGAAGGACCCAGACTGTCACAGACTGTGTCCCTCTGCTGGGCCGGAGATGCTCAGGGCAGACCAGGTAATTTAGAAACTCCCTGATCTCTGCGTGCGTGTGTATGTGTGTGTGTGCCTGCGTGTGTGTGTGTATGTGTGTGTGCCTGCGTGCGTGTGTGTACCTGCCTGTGTATGTGTGTATGTATGTGTATGCCTGTGCGCACGTGTATGTATGTGTGTGTCTGCATGTGTGTGTGCGCGCCTGCGTGCGTGTGTATGTATGGGTGTGCCTGCGTGTGTGGGTGGGAAGGAGGGGAGGGAGAGAGATACAGTTGGTTGGCATGTCTCGGTCTGTCTCAGGTGTGTGGACTAGGAACAGCTCGTTGCTGTGGGTGAAGATATAAGGACCTTTTTGTTTGTAAGTCCCCGAGTTTAGAAAAGCTGGGTACCTACCAGGCCATCCAGTTCACAGATGCCCAAAACTTAGTGAGTCAATGAAATGTCATTCATTCACTTCTCATTCACTTAGAACCCTAATGAATAGAGTTTAAGAAAGAAACATAACTTACAGTTTCTTCATTACAAGTTATCATGCAACTTAGGGCCCTTGTGAAAACTGTTGCCTTTCCTTCTGTTTGTGTTTTAGCTTATAAAATCAACAACATTTAAAATGGAGAAGCTGATCTCTTTAAATATTTGTAATAATTTCTCACACATTCTTTTGACCCCATCAGACAGAATTCTCCTGCCTCCGAATGTGGGAGGTTTGACCTCACGGCCATAGATCTTCCTGAGACAGGAGGTAGGACGTTGACACCCAGCTCTCCTCGGGGCAGGAGAGAGGAGGGTCCCACACCGGCACACGGAGGGGGGTCCACACCGGCACACGGAGGGGGACCCACACCGGCACACGGAGGGGGACCCACACCGGCACACGGAGGGGGCCCACACCGGCACACGGAGGGGGGTCCACACCAGCACATGGCGGGAGGTCCACGCTGGCACATGGAGGGGGGTCCACACCGGCACACGGAGAGCCCCATGGGAGCCAGCAGCTTCCCTCCGCCGTGCCACAGAGCAGGCCCCGCCATGACAGTGGGTGTCGGCCCCCAGCGCGTTTTCCTGGACCGGGTTCACTCATCGGTGCGCTGGGGAAGGTGACTTATGAGTGGGTGGGGGTGAGTAGGTCTGACCATCAACAGGGGGACATGGTCCTCAGCCTTGTGATGACGGGGGAGCTGCTGGGAGGCCCAGAGACAGCAGCAGAAACCACCCCCTTCTGGGGACAGATGGGCTGCAGCTACTCCTGGGATGTGAATCCACCAGTCACGTTCCCAGTGGGGTTGGCAGGGAGGTCATGAGTTCAGTGTGACCGCTGCCATGCTCCAGGGGCAGCCCTCCCTGTGGGGTAGGGAGAGCGAGGACATGACACAGGTGTTCTCTCGTCTTTCTCACTGTTCCCGTGGGTTTTCTTCTTTCCAAGCTTTTTAGGGTGATAGGATGTGTTTCCCGAGAGCACGCTGAGAGAAGCATCATGGAAGTCGTCAACCTTCTCTGACTGATGTCTTCTTTGACCAGGCGATCAGGTGCTTCAGAATGGCACGTGGTTCTCTTGTTCTGCTCATGGCCGGTTCTCCGTGGGGTCAGTGGCTGGCACTGGCTACAAGGTCCCGTTACCATCGTGGGGCGGCCATGTGCCGGCCGTCCTGACGCCGCTCCTCTGGTCAAAGCCCATGAGTGTGAACTCAGAGTGCACACACCAAGAGGGAACAGGGCTGATACTTCAGAACTTCACTAGGACAGGTGGCCTACGATTCTTAACAGCGTGAGCCCTGGGCCAGGGGCGTCTGTGGTTGGGGTTCCTCCCTCCTGCCACCCGTTGGGACTGCATATGTCCTATCCTTGGGGAGATGCTTGGTAGGAATGAGCCAGGAGAGGGACCGCTTTTGCGGCAGACAGTTGGTGATGCTCTATGACTAATGCGTGGCAAATTTGATTTGCTGATGTTTAGACGGATGTGTTAGATGTTTAAGTGTGTGGGCTAGAGAGATGTTTTCTCTTATTAATGCGTCGAAGAACAAATCTGCTCCCAAAGAAGGCCTTCCTGAGGGAATGGCAGGAGCCCATGGAGAACGTCCTGGGCACAGGGGAGCCTGCGGCCGGCGCCCCTCCTTCCGTCAGCTCACTAGTGAACGTCCCACCATCTTCTCAGTCTGGCTTTTTAATCATAGAAACAGTAGGTGTGACAGAGCAGCTCCCATACCCAGTCTCAGGGGCGGGCGGGGCCCAGGTAAGAAGGCCTTGACTGCCGCCCGTGTCCACGGTGTGCACAGAGCGGCTGCGCAGCGTGGAAAGGGGTGCATCCAGGTGGCCTGTCCGTGTCAGACAGGACGCACTCCAGATGGAACGTAGCAGTTTGTCGTTTTTAACGTGGTCTTTTTTCTACAACAGTTTTCCTAAATACTTTTTTGAGACTGGATGTGACAGTCACACATTATTTCTACCGGCTCACCCAGCTTCTCCCGAGGCCATGAGAGGTGACTGGCAGTGCCGCGGGTCAGGCAAAGGCGGTGCTGGGTGTCGTTCCACGGCACCAGCTCCCCTCCGTCCTGCTCTTCACAGGCGAACCTCCTCCCTCCACGCCCACTGAGGTACTTGTACAGGATTTCCAGTTCATCAGATTTTGTTTCTGACTCTTACTGTGGCCTTCCTGCTGCTTCATGTGCCTTCCGATAAGTTACCTCCCAGGTGCCACGGTCAGAATAGCTCTTCACTCGGCCCAGACCTGTGCTTCTGACCCCAGCACAGAGTAGGTGTGTCCTCTGTGTGAGTCCTCAGGACCCGGCTTTCCTCGCGCCACCTGGGCACCACTGGGAAGCAAACCCTTCGAAAGCACCCGCCGCACACGTGTGTTTATGCGCTGACACCAGGGATGCTCACGGACTCTCACAAAGCCCATGATGAGTGTAACTGTGGCATATCTGGTTTGGGCTGCAAGTACATAAAGCCGATAAAGAAAAGTCATTCTTGCCCTAACTAGTTTGGCTCAGTGGATAGAGCGTCAGCCTGCAGACTGAAGGGTCCCAGGTTCGATTCCACTCAAGGGCATGTACCTTGGTTGCGGGCACATCCCCAGTGGGGAGTGTGCAGGAGGCAGCTGATCAATGTTTCTCACTCATCGATGTTTCTAACTCTCACTTCCTCTCCCTTCCTGTCTGTAGAAAATCAATAAAATATATTTCTTAAAGAAAAGTCATTCTCAAAATTTAGGTGCAATGAAAAATTAATATTTTTAAATTGTTTATTTTAAGATTAATGAAGGAAGTCAATAGTGAATGTTAAGTGTTTTGAACTGCTCCCGTCGAGCAGTCTGTCTCGCCGTGTCGACACGCAGCGGGACCTCAGGGCTGTGTGGTGTGTAGAGTTGACTGCAGTTAGCTTGCTGTCCATGCTGTTGCCGCTAAACTTCACATTCCAGCCTCCACTTCTTTCTTTTCTGTTCTTTTTTTGTCCTTTTTTTTACTTTCTTTGCAGAAGACCATCAAATGAACTGTCACAGTAGTCGCATAATGCAAGACACAGAAAAGGATGATAATAATAATGATGAGTATGATAACTATGATGAGCTGGTGGCCAAGTCCTTGTTGAATCTTGGCAAGATTGCCGAGGACGCAGCATACCGGGCCCGCACGGAGTCCGAGATGAACAGCAACACCTCCAATAGTCTGGAGGACGATAGTGACAAAAATGAGAACTTGGGTCGGAAAGGCGAGTTGAGTCTAGACTTAGACAGTGATGTCGTTAGGGAAACGGTGGACTCCCTGAAATTACTAGCACAAGGACATGGTGTGGTGCTGGCAGAGAACATGAACGACAGGAACTATGCGGACACCATGTCCCAGCAGGACAGTCGGAACATGAGCTACGTGATGCTGGGAAAGCCCCTGAACAACGGGCTGGGTGAGAAGCTGGTGGAGGAGAGCGATGAGGAGGTGTGTCTGAGCAGCCTGGAGTGCCTGCGTAACCAGTGCTTCGACCTGGCCCGCAAGCTGAGCGAGACCAGCCCGCAGGACAGGAACCCGCAGCCCAGCCTCGGCGGCCGCCCGCACCTACGGCCAGAGGATGACTTCGCGGGCAGGACGCCGGACAGGAGCTACTCAGACATGATGAACCTGATGAGGCTCGAGGAGCAGCTGAGCCCCAGGTCGCGGACTTTCTCCAGCTGCGCAAAGGAGGACGGGTACCACGAGAGGGATGACGACACGGCCTCCGTCACCTCCGACAGGTCCGAGGAGGTGTTCGACATGACCAAGGGCAACCTGACCCTCCTGGAGAAAGCCATCGCTTTGGAAACAGAGAGGGCGAAAGCCATGCGGGAGAAGATGGCCATGGAGGCCGGCAGGCGGGACAGTATGAGGTCGTATGAGGAGCAGTCGCCACGACCGCTGCCCGGGGAGGAGAGGAAGCCCAAACCCAGTGACAGCCATGTCAAAAAGCCATACTATGGTAAAGGTAATATTTCTACCTACGTGAGTTCCTCATGAACGCGTGAGCCTGAGTCAAAGATGTCAGTGTGGCCACAATTAAGTGTGCATCCGGTAAATTGTGTCTCTGATGCACACTTCCTAGGGCCGATTCCCGGGTTATAGATTGTGATTATAGTTCTGCAGAGCAGATACCATGTCTGAGAAATACACAGCGCAGCTCAGTGTCACTAGCAGAGCAGATGACGGACAGGCTGTTTCATGGAAGAGGCAATGCCTTGATGCACAGGTGGGAGCTGTCAGGATGAGCTGTGACCTTAAACACGGCCACAGTCTGAGTGGCAAGGGTCTGTGCAGCAGTCAGTCGGGGAGAACGTGCATCTTCTAAGCATCACGATTTATAAGATTATCATCGAATGACAGTTACCGGTAAAACCTCCCCCACAGAAAACATCCCTGAGAGAAATTGAACAGTAACAGAAGGACGATAACATAAGACAAGGGCAGGCACTGCACATTAATTATCGTACGTGCTTGGCGGCTGGAGCCATTGGCTGTGCAGGGCGTGTGTGTCCCAGGCTGAGAGCAATAGCAGTTTCCTCATAGAGTCACTCCCCTCACTGATCCGGTTCAGTGTGGAAGCAGCTGTGGGGTTACTTTATCTTAAAACAGGCAGAGCCTCCCAGTGTGGAAGTGCTCATGGGTTTGTGTTGATGAGGTATATGAGCACATATTTGCATACATCCCTATGTTTAATTACATGCATATTAGTCACTGTGTTTAATATGTATATTCCAGCCTGAGCAATTGACTTCATGTTCGGAATAACCGCTGTGTCCCCTTTCAGAAGGAGGCAGGTTATAACAACCTCGAGTAGACCTTGGGCACTGCAGGTTTCAGTTACAGACACTTAAAACTCAGGAAGCCATTTAAAGAATAAAATTGGTGATTCCTAAGTCCCTCCAGATGAGCACCAAACAAGATCCTCTGTGTTATCTGCTCTTCGATGCCTTATAAACACAGATCCTCCCCGGGGAGCTGACGGTGAGGTTCAGGAATTTGGTTTGAAAATCAGTTGCTCTGTAAACTCCAAAGGATAGGAAAACCTGCTTTTTCTGCTGTGACATCATGTGTATTCTCCTCTCAATGTGCACGTAAGCCCCACAGCACGTGGCCAGCACTACCCAGGTCCCCTGGGCACGGCCTGAGCCAGAGGCCTGCGGCTCCTGACCTGAGTCGAGCCCGGTATCGACTCAGTCATGCGGGTGCAGGCAGAGCCTTGGCAGGTGTGGACGTGAGGAAGGGGTTGTGCTCAGGCCACAGAGCGTCGCTCAGCGGAGCCTTGGCCTGGCTTTGGTGCTGTCAAGACCAAGACGTCGCATGTACGTTGTGCCTGTAGTGGAGTCCGTTAGAAATGGTGTGTTAGATGTTTGAGCATCGTCTCAACATTTTTAGGAAGAAATAGTGTCTCTGCCATGGGCTTGCTCAGGTGGCCACGCGCTAGGTTCTGACCTAGACGTCTGCAGAGTGGACTGTGGTGGGCTCCACACGGAGCCGTGGGCCCTTGGGGCATCCCTCCTCTGGTTTCCGTGGCTCCTTTAAGCCCAGAGTTTCCTGTAGATATGGATTCGTTTTGTTTTGTTATGGTTGCTTTGTATGGTTTTTGTTTTTTGTAAGAAATGGAATTCCAGTGGCTTGCTTCCCCTAAACCAGTGGGGATGGAGTGGGCATGGACAGCAGCGCTGAGATATGCTTTTCCCCGGGAGCAGGGAGGGCTGGGACTTGGGCTTTCCAGATGAGCTGGAGGGCACGGACCCTGCCTCTGCCCAGCTGTTCCAGATCTTCTTCCTCAGTCATTGTGTTCCCCACTGTCCCAGTTTCTTGTGAAGTTGCCACAGTTTTGTCAGAGCCAAATTAGTGTAGCCAGGCAAGGACCCAGAGCGGGCAAAGAGATGAGTGCCCTGTTTAAAGAGATAGCTTCTCACCAGCACGGCCAGAGTGTCCAGTCTGTTCTTGGCTCCTCTGCTATTTTATTAAAGATAAAGGGAACGTGCGTGCCATTCTCATTTAGACGCAATCTTCTCAAAATGATGTAAATGATAAACCAGGAACCTTTCCAGAATCCTGAGCTAAAACAAAAGAGGTTCATCCGGAAACGCCTTTATCTGCTTCCTAAGCCTCACTGGACGGGTGTAGGAGCAAGCTGAGCCAGCACTCGAGTCTTTTGGGTATTGCTTCGAGGTTTGCTGTTGAATTATTGGTCTGTTTGCTTGCTGGGTTGTTTTGCTCCAGTGTTTGCCTTCGAGATGAATTGGGATTGCAAGAACTAAGAAAGCAGGGGGCGTAGTGGTGAAGGCGAGTGGCAGCCCCAGCCCGGCTCACACATCGAGAGGAGATTATGCCCGGTGTCTTCCAGCACCTGAGGCCGTCTGAGCCACACTGTGCCCACACATCTGATCTTGACTTCAGAATACAAATCAGAATGATTTGTTAGGAAATCTTAAGTGTCCTGATGAAAAAGAGACACTTAATTATTAATAATAGTTAAAAGTTGCATTTTGTCCTTTAAAGTCATTTATATCTAGGTTATGACCTTAACATTTTCCTATGAAACTGTCCCTGTGTGCTTGGTATTTCCATTAATTAATGTATACCGATGTTATTATGAAACTGCTTGCAAGGCAGTGAAACGCTAGGCTTCGGGGTTGCATGTAGGAGACACTCCAGCATGACATCTCAACGCTGACATCACAATAGCCTGTTTTTAGATTTGTTTCCAGTGACTACGATCCCCAGTAGGTCAGGAAGCAGCAGACAGCATATCTAGGACTCGCCAACATCAGCGCTGGTTTTAGAGACTGCAGACCTGGAAGAGCCACGTTCCATAGGGCAGTGCCCTAGCTTACCAGTCAAGGGTCTTTTATAGAAACAAAGGGTGTAGTTGTCCCTGCGAGCCCTTCGTCTATTTCCCTTTACATGAAAGACTCAAGGAAAAGTCCTTAAGGCTTTTAAAAACGTTAAGCCAGGCTTTTTTCTTTATATAAAATGAATACTTTACCAAAAGTAAAACATGTTTCCCACAGTCATGATTGGCTTGATTAATAAAATCTATAGTAATAACAGCATAATATGCTAATTAGACCAGATGTCCTTCCGGATGACCTTCCTGACGAAGCTGGGGCTGCAAGGAAAGCCTGGGTCCCGGGGGCCTTCCAGTGGACAGAGAGAAGCCCGGGTCCTGAGTGCCAGACAGAAGCTGGTGCCGACAGCTGGGGGAAGGAAGGCCTACTCTTACATGAATTTCATGCATCGGGCCTCTAGTCTACATATCTAAAAGCCTAAACAACCTTTATGACCTGATGACCAGCCAGTAGCTATGACACACACTGACCACCAGGGGACAGATGCTCAATGCAGGAGATGCCCCCTGGTGGTCAGTGCACTCCCACAGTCCTCCCCCCTGACCAGCCGGCCAGCCTTGATCGGCCCTGATTGGGACTGGGTGAGACAACCCTGATTGTCCCCGATCACTGGCCAGGCCACCTGTGCACGAATTCCTGCACCAGGCCTCTAGTACCAATATAAAAGCACTGGACCCCTGGACCAGGTCCTAGGGCTCACTGTCTGTTGATAATCTGTGCAGGTGGTTTTCAGAAACAATGTTCTGCACACTCACGGCGCTGTGTAGACTATTTCTGGAGTTGTTTCTGCATGTTCATGCACTGGGTCCCTCTGGGCATAGAAGTACATGTGAGCAGTATGGCTGTGTTTCTGCCTCGGGCTCCTCCCCCAGCAGCTGCAGAGCCGCTGACCTGCGTGCACGCGTCCATCCCGGGGCCTCCTCAGTCCCGTGCACTCAGAGGAGCCACCGGTGCCCGCGGCCGCGCTGGGGCAGCTCCGAGTGCACGCCCGTCAGGGGGGTCCCGCCTCTGGGTCATGTGCTTGCAGTGCCTTCTGAGAGTTCAGCTTATTTTCAGAAAATCTCTAAATTGACGTGCTACCTAGCAATTTCAACACCAGCAAACCTGTCCCTTGTGTTGTCTACAATCAGACACTCCACAAGAAGGCCATCTGCCAAAGGGTGTCTGGATGGCAGGACCACGGTTGAATTTCACAGCAATTGCGCAACCGCCATGGGGTGGCTTTGTTCTCTGAGAAGGTCACTGTCTCATTCCGTTGGTTTCTGTGAGCTTATCATGTAACACACGGGAAACAAGAGTGCAGTAGGGATAGTCTTGTCTTCTTTTTCACAGAAAGCAAGATATTGTGTGACTCATGATTACACTGTTTAAGGTCAGAAATCACGCCAAGCCAAAGACCTACGCCAAAGCCCGGTGCCACGGCGTCTCCCTGCCACTGCTTTGTCTCTTTACTCATCAAGGTCTCTTCAGAGTGTGAAGTGAGCACATTGTCGTCAGTGGGTAAAGGATTCACTCTCTTGACACCTGTTGTCGCTTTTAGATCCCTCGAGAGCAGAAAAGAAAGAGAGCAAGTGTCCAACCCCAGGGTGCGATGGAACTGGCCACGTAACTGGGCTGTACCCGCATCACCGCAGCCTGTCCGGATGCCCGCACAAAGATAGGGTCCCTCCGGAAAGTAAGTCTGCCTCACGATCCCGCACACACCGACGGCCCTTCTGTCATCTCTCTTGCCTCTGTCATTTCCATCTGTCCTGACGGGCAGCCCCAGTGCAAGTGCACACGGGCCAGCAGGCTCTAGAGCTCACCCTCCACGGGCAGCATGTCCTCGTGTCCTTCCTGCGGGACTGGCCCTAGGATGGAGCCCGGACCCGGCTTCCTCTGCCCCCAAGCAGGCCTGGCCTCCAGGGCGCAGCTCGCTCTGACCTGCTCCGCAGCCTCAGGCAGACTCCTCAGCAGCGCAGAGCTGAGTGCAGATGGTCCCACATCCCTCCCAGCTTGAAGCTGTGGGAGCCTTGAGGAAACCCCTTATCTGGACCCAGTATGTGTAAATGTCCATCAGTATTTCTATTTGTATTTTATTGCATTTTATTCCAAAAGTCTGTTTCATGTCATAGTTGCCCCACCATTCCCACACAATAAAATCTTAAGTGAGGAGGGTTACGGCAGGTGGGTTTTGCTCCCACACGTTTATTTTAATCAGTTAGGTTCTGAGAATATGCAATAAATTTTTTAAAACAACTAAATTTTCTTTAGAACTGAACCAATGTATACATTTTTATCTTTCTCACAGCACATGAAGTATTCCAACTATTTTATTTTTTAATATATTTGTATTGATTTCCGAGAGAAAGGGAAAGGGAGAGAGAGATAGAAACATCAATGATGAGAGAATCATGGATCAGTTGCCTCCCACACACGCCACACTAGGGATCGAGCCCACAACCCAGGCCTGTGCCCTGACCAGGAATCAAACCGTGACCTCCTGGTTCATAGGTCGACACTCAACCACTGAGCCACGCCGGCCCGGCTAAAAACCATTAGAACTGATTGCACAGGGAACTGGCACATTTTCAGAAATGACCTTTGAGTCTAAGACCCTGATCGTGAGTCTCAGGATCTTCCTCATTGTCTGAGACACAGTTTCTAGTGAGGAAAGTGGAGTCACTTGGCTGGAGATGGGACCAGACGATCAGCTGACTGTTTGCAGGGACTTCTGAGGCTGGTCCCATTCAGTGGCTGACTTTGGGATACTTGAGGCCCATCTGGCAGAACCCGGAGAAGTTCCCAGGAGCTGAGGCTCAGGACAGGCTTAGCGGGGCCTGTTCAGGGGAGGTATTTTAGAAGGGATGGGACTGTTTTCGGACGGCTGCTGAAAATAAGCCCGTTTCCTGCACGTGCCCTGTCAGCAGACGAGAGCAGGAGTGGGGACCGCGCTGCCCGTGTGTTACATGAGCAGGGAGACAGCATGTGGCCGCAGCAGCTTACCCCCAGCCGGGCCACCGTGCACGCAGCCCGCAGGCAGTGCCAGCGGCTTTTCAGATGAGGAAACCTCGGCGCACATGCGTCCCTCCTTCCAGTCAGCACAGGCCTGGCGCGTGGAAGACACTCGTGCTTTTCAAACCAGCGTGAGCAGGTGCGAGCCGCTGGGTAGACGCCTGAGCAAGATCCGGGTCCACACCCCCCCGAGTCCCGAGACCTGGTCTGAGCAGCCTCGTCCTAACCAGCCCGCGACCTGGAGCACGGCACACGCTCTGCACGTGGTTTTCCTCATCTGCACAAGAAGCGTTAGGGCGAAGCCCTCGGGCCTTAAGAGAAATAGCCACTTGGCGCCGTTTCTCGGTCGGGCCCACATTTTCACCTTCAGAGCAGAGGATGGGCTTCTCCTCAGGGCTGACAGTCCTCCTGACTCCACACGCTCCCGGGAGAGCCCAAATGGAGCAGACACGGGCCGTGTGCTGACAGCGCAGATGAAGGCCACGCCTGTCACACCTGTGCCCGGCACAGTGGGGCTCAGCTCTGGCGCTGGCCCACCGATCCCTTCCCACATGGACTCGTATCATTCCTTAGAACAGCATGACGTGGAAACAGTCGCACTCCAGGTGGACTCCATACAGTGGTCTGTCGCCCTAGTTTGCAACACATTGTGTGAGGAGCAGAGGCCACCCCACTGAACGAGACCCCGCTCTGTCCTCCAGGAGCCCCCACAGGGCAGGCATGACCTCTAGGGACAGGCTCCGCAGCAGCTGCGGACATGCCCCAGACACCAGGGGGGAGGCCTTCCCTGGGACCTCAGGCCTCACTGCTGTCCCGCTCAGCCTGTCTGTGAGAGAGAGAACCACACATTCTCTGCCCGCTGCTGGAGCCATCCACACAGGAGCCCGGCTGGAGGAGGCAGCAGAGGCACAGGAGGCGGGCAGGCTGGCAGGGCCGGAGGAGGGCGCATGGGAGGGGCAGGCAGACTGAGGTGAAGGCAGGGACTGTGCCTCCGAGCACGATCAGGTGGTGACAGCAGTGATGGGTGTAGGGAGCTGAGGAGCAGGAGACAGTGGCCTGGATTTGTTTTCTGGAATGGGAAGTGCGGTCTGGCGGTCCTGAGGGCTGCGGGGGGAGGTCTGGAGGCTGGAGAAGGTCAGACGCGCAGCTGCTCTGGGTCTGTCCTCTGAGCCGTGCGCGTAGAAATGAGTGGAGTGGCCCAGACAGGAGGCTTAAAGCAAGAGTGCACAGGAGCCCCGAGGGCAAGACAGCAGAGGGCGAAAGGCAGGTAGAGCAGAGTCGGGCTGAGAGGACAGTGTTCTGCACAGGGGACACCTGTGAAAAGGTCCGGAGAAGGACGTGAGGACTGCGGGGAAGAGCAGGAGAGACGTGGCCGAGGAGGAGAGGCAGATGGTCCGCTCTCAAGTGGGCGTCTGTGTGGCCACTTAGCAGGAGACGCAGGTGCAGGCACTTTGAGGTCTGAGCTTCGGACATGCATGAGGCTGCTTGCATCTCCAAAAGAGACTGTATTGAGAGCTTTTAGCTTGGAAGGAAAATGGTGTTAATTGGAGAGAAGCAGTGTCCTGGGAAGTGGTGTGACATGACAGCAGGTCAGGAGAGGAGTGAGGAGTGAGTGACAGCGGGCGACCGTGCGGCAGAGCAGGACCCAGAGGCAGGGAGAGGGCAGGTGGGTGCTGCCTCCTCCGAGCCGGCAGAGGCCCCGGGAGCAGGCCAAGTCCCGGGAAGACAGGTCCCCCGAGGGAGCAGCACAGGCCCCCCCCCCCCATCGATCACTGCAGACTCAGCTGAGAACTGCAGGGGCAAACCCAGATTTAAGGAACTGTCCAGAGTGAGGGGTGCGATGTGGCCTGAGTAATAAGCTCCCTGTGCGGCAGCACAGACGCTGTGCACGCTTCCGGGAGAGGGAGGCTGTTCTGGAGGAAGGAGGTTTGTAGAAAGTAGTCATGGAACTCCCTGGGGCAGACTCTGTTTTTAGGGGGCCTTCCACACCCACCTCCGTCAGGCAGACCTCACTCAGAGGGACGCTCCCACAGGTTCCTGCCGTGTGGTCTCCGGGAGGGGGTAGCCTAGTGTGCTGGGCCAGCGACATGGGTCACTTCTCTTGACTGCCCACCCTCACTTCTCACCCCTATCTGCCTTCCCCACCACCCAGAGCAGTGGCCTGTCCACTGAGGAGCAAGGCTGTGCCCACAGCCTGACCGTGGCCATGGCGAGTAGCTGAGCACGCCCCTGACCACTGGCCACTCCCGGGCCCCCAGTGGGCAACCGAGTCCCCTCGCTGGCCCCCGGCCCAGCAGCACAGCACTGACTATCCCAGTTCACTCATTTGGAGAAGAATGAAGTGTTCAATTCCTAGGTGGAAAGCCACCGCTTAATTCATTGCATTAAAAATAAGGCTTGGGGTTCCTGTCACCGTGGCCGCCATGCCCTCATGACACTGTTTCTGAGGCAGAGGTGTGTATTGGGACCGTCTGGTCTGCGTGCTGCTGCCTAGCGATCAGGTGCTCAGTGCTTACGTGGGGGGGGGGGGGCAGATGGGCCGCGCTGGGGACATCCTCACATCCCGACCTCCAGCCCCACACAGCGCACCCCGCTCTGCATGCCCTCAGACGAGCCTTCTCCCCCTTCCCACGTGTTCCCCTGACCATGCCCATCACGAATGTCTGCCGCCCGTCAGTCGTACACGAGCCACTTTGTTCGAATGACTGCGTCCTCTTGTCCCCGGACCGTTGCTGTGTGTTAATGCCACGTGTTTTCTCTGCTCTCCCCGTCAAGTTCTTGCCATGCATGAGAACGTTCTCAAGTGTCCTACTCCGGGCTGCACAGGGCGCGGGCATGTAAATAGCAACAGGAACTCTCACCGAAGGTAAGCACAGCCCCTGCGCCCTGCCTGCAGGGGAGCCCCGGGAGCCCTGTCTCTTCCCACCCTGGCGCACCCTCGTCCAGAGGATGGAGACTTGGTCCCATCGCACTCGGCGTGTGATGCTCAGACCCCGTCACAGATGGGAGGTTTCAGTGGTCGCACCCACCTCGGGATGGGGCAACAGTCCCCCGGGAGGGACCGTCCTCGCTGCGACCTCTGAGGGAACCATGACCCTGTGCAACTGGAAGAAACAGTACAGGCTCCCTGTGCCCATCAGGAGGGACTGGTCCACCCCTCAGACAGGGCGGGACTTGGAATCCAGGAAGGAGCTGGGCTGCCCGGCTCTGCTGGACCCTGCCCGGGGGTGGCATCAGCAGCCTTCCTGGCCCACTGCTGTCTTCCCGCTCACGGCCATGCTTTGCTCTGAGAACATACTTTGCCAGTTCTCCTTCCTCCTTTGTTCTCACCCC